ACCAGAAGGCTGGCGGTTCAAACCCACCAGCCACTCCTCGGAAGGAAGGTTGGGCAATCTACTTCCATAGTGACACCATCTCGGAAACCCAAGGAGTGGGTCGCTGTGAGTCAAGATCAACTCAGTGCCACTGAGCTTGGGTTTTTGATAGGAAGGAGTGCAGCTGCGCCGTAGGGTTTCTGAGGCTGCAGTCTTTGCGGGAGCAGACTGTCTCATCTTTCTCTGCGTAGTCGCTGAGGGGTTGGAGCTGCTGACCTCTGGTTAGCGGCTGAGCACTTCAACCACTGTGCCACCAAGACTGCCCTACCCACCTCTCAACAACATAGTTCCCTGTTTAAGGCAGCAGAGCTTCTCTTTCTGTGGGTATTTGTGACATAGCTTTTTACAAAAGAGAGATGTTGGGTTCTTGATGACAGCTGCCTGGTGGGATGGATGCCTGGTGCTTGGGGGGTCGTTATACCATCTCTTTCCTTTTGACGGAAAAACAGACAAAGCTGCCTTTTAAAAGCACGCGTGTCCTCTGCACCTACCCCCATCTTTCTTTTCCAGAGAGTCCTCAGGCAGATTCATTGTGAAGACACTATCATCGGGTATTTCCATCCGTTCCCCGTTAGGAACCATCCATCGAGGCTAACATCCTTGTTAAGTAACCTTCTCAGCTGTAAATGGGGAAGTCGTTAGGTTGGCGAATGCCTTGTTGTGGATATTTTCACCACAATAAAAGGGAAAAAATATAACTAAAATGACTTCCTCAAGGCCCCCCGCCCCTGGCTGGACGGTGACAGAGCTGAGTCCTCAGCTTCTTGTCCACTCCGTTCCTCTCAGATCCCGTCATTTCATGGGAATTTAATACAAAATACACACTGGAGCCTGTTAGTCTGTGCATAATGTTCTTACTTCTCAAATGATTCTGAAAAATTTCAGGACAACCTCATGTGTGTTTCTTTTGCACCAATTTAAACCATAAGACCTATCTTTCTATTCAGTTTATGCTTTTCAACTTGTTAAAACGTTCAGCTCAGTAGAACCTCTAATAATTGCAGGGAGGAAATTAAGATGGCGTTAAGAAACCTTTATCCGCCATTTTGTTGATCATGGCTTTGGCAGTCATGGAGGGTTCCAAACGATTATGCCATAGTTAAGAGTTGGTTAATTAAAAAAAAAAAAAATCTGCCGTCAAGTCAATTTCGACTCATAGCAACCCCTCCTTGGGTGTCCAAGGTGATTATCACTACAGAAGTAGATTGCCCAACCTTCCTTCCGAGGAGTGGCTGGTGGGTTTGAACCGCCAGCCTTCTGGTTAGCAGTCAAGTACCTTAGGCACTATGCCATCTATAGAGCCCACTAATTAAATGAATGCCACCAAAAATTGTTGACTTTGCCTTTATAATGGGGGAAATGATTACACTTATAATGATAGACATAATTATTCAAGCCTGTCTGCCTCGGAGTACGAGGTAGGCAACGAAGGATGGCTGGAATCAGATTATCGATTATAATCACGGCCC